TTTGATGGTGTAACGTTCTCTTCCCTGAAAACGAGCATGTAAAGCACCGGTCGGAGTGCAATCGTAAGATTAATCCAGTGATCACATGCTGAAGTGATAGAGTGTACTGCTCAACAAATTCATTGGTCGCTGCTTGATCCCTCACTTCCGGCACCAACAGTTGGATAAAGAACCCAAGAAATGCGACCTAATTTCTGGCCATACCTCACCAATGGATTCCCGGTTAAAAAAAATCTGATTGGCAGTACCAGGTATCTGGAATTGCTTCGTGCCAGCATGCAATACGACACTTCCACCCTAGCCTCCCAGTTTCTTCAATCATGTCCCAATTGAGTATCACACTATTATCATTCTGAGATACCCTAGCACGTCCACTTCTCGTATGGAGACAGTAAATCAAAAAAGAGGTTTTCTTATTCGTGTCATCAGATATAACCCTAGACTATCTTGTGATTGGTTACTATACAATACCGACACTCTGGTACGGAAGGAATCTTATCCCTGTTGAAGGTACTTCAAGAGTCAGCCGGTCTAATGTTCGCCCTTCAAAAATATACGATTGGTCGCCATAACAAATCTAGAATCCGCCTATTATGCACAGAAGCTGGTGGCGTATCTAATTGGTGTGGCTGCACGTATATCTTCCAATTGGTGCATGCTCGGCATGTCAGTCCGCGATGGTCGGTTCGCACCGCGCTTAGCCAAGGGGAGAATACGGTGAAATGTCAGCATTGTCATTCAGCCCTGCATCTGGTGTAACCATCCATTAGCACTACCGGAGCAAACTCTTTCCCCGAGGTTACCAGCTGAGAGAGCAACCCGGACCGAGGATACTTCTCCAATGTACATCATATTCAATCTTACATGCAACCAATCTAATGCCCAACCATCCAGTGCATGGATACTGGTACTATACGAACAATATATATGAATTTTCTTGCAGAATTCCGACTAATTGTAGGAAGCGTTGTATCCCTACCATGCAATGTATGTCAGAAACGATAAACTTTCGTCTCTGATACCCCCACGCTTTTCTTTATAATCTACAGACAACGGAGATAGCCAACCTATCGGGCAATGTGGGGATTTTATCCCCGTTTGCTACAGCCACGTGGATCTCTCCTTGGAGAATATTCTCCAAAGCATGCAGAATAATATATTTATCCATGCAAGATGAATCCATATCCTCGGACTTATGCTCACCTGTTAACCGACTTCCAAGCGTCTAGAATAATCATCAAAGTGAGTATCGGCGACCTTCCATCTGACTCATCTTCCGGCTTACGCAGTACAGATAAACAATTTTGGATGATCTCAAATAATACTCCATCTCTGTTCTAAGACTGACGTCTCACCGCTTACAATAGAACATGTGAGGTTTTCCAAAACGAGACAGCAGGAACAAACACTCGGGTCTACGCCAAGTCACCTTCTGCACCGCTGGCTCACACGTGGCTTCTACTTCCCGTCATGAACAATGGGCATCTCGATCCGACTTTCTGGTCGTCGCTTACAGTGACCATGAAGCTTTGGATCGTCTTGCGCATTTCCACAATCTCTGAGCTTCTGCTGAAAACCCTCAAATGGGGCGCGGCTGCAGTGTGGTACAGCAAATATTAATAACTTTGTCATAAAAGGCGTCCTGGTCAAGGGAAGAAGACACGTCAATATGGTCATTCTCGTCATAAGTGACGAATATGTTCCAAGTGGAATTGATAATGCACTACCTTTCTGACGGCTGCGTCGCTGGGGGATGAGAAGCATCGCAAATCGTCTCACTGGTTTATACTTCGGACCCGAACCGGTTCTTCGGAAAAAGATTCTTCAGATGCAATATGGCGTGTCGTCTGTTGTTTCAAACCCATGTTGTGATATCAAGTGAATCAACTATGCCCCTCTTTTCACGTACTTTGACGTACTGTGTCCCTGTCCAAGATTTCTGCTGTTTCCTCGTCTCCATCATAATAATTGAATACGATAGTTACATGGTGGGTAGTGATATATTGGATGTTTTGCTTGTCATGGATCCTCTCGTTGTCATAAATTATAGGAATCAGATAATACGTCAAGATAGCACGGTTAATAGGAAATGGTTTTTGCATGCATTTCATCCATCATTTGAAGAGGGTATGGAAAGCCAACCCCACAAATTCATGCCACACTTATCCTTCCTCATGCTCTTCATTCCGATGACTAACTTGCTCCTTTGTTTTGTTGAGGTAAATACATTAATCAAAAAAGGATACCGCGGGATCGATGAGGACTTTTAGCTTTAAGATCTCTCTCCCCTTCCATCTTTCACATAAGACAAGCTGCATTGCATGCATCTCTGCATATATCTTCTAGGTCTTCCGCTGCAGGAAACAGTTTCCCAGATGACCATACGATCATGTAAACGGGGTTTTACATATTCGTAGAAAACGCGATCCTTAACTTTATCTACTCTATTTTGGCGCCATAGCTACTCTGGCTTCCTTGGACTTTCATAGGTTATATTTCATGTGTCACGGTGGCTTAGCAGCTACATATTATCAGTCTATTTGAACATTAATTGTTCTAGAAATTGTTCATTCTAAATCAGACTACCTGAAGATCAAATCAACCCCTTTTTCATGTTTTCGCCCTTGAAATAATGAAAGTAAGTGACATATAGACCCGGAACATATCTAATGCTCTTGTTATACCAGTTTAGTAAGATTGGCATACTGAAACGCAGCAAATCAGATACGATTATTAATAAGAATGTTATTTAATCATCTTTTGTCAGACTCACGTACACATCTAGATACTCCAACGTATAACATCCATTTACATTGAAATTAAGATAGAAACCCATAAACCACACCTAAATCTATGATATACCTTAAGCATTGCATGCCTACTTTTGTATTCCTGCATGCATGTATTCCATCACCTAATCTCATTTTACTTTCTTGTACATGCAACTTTCCAACCCTTCGCTTTCAATCTCCTCACGATGGCCATTTCAAAAGGAAAATCACGCTGACATTAATATTTACTATCCTATCCAATCTGATCCTTCCCTTCGTATCCTTTACCCAGATCATCCTTTAACCCTAAAATATAATCACGCTAAGCCTCTGCCTCCCATTATCTTCTCCTCAGATGTGCGTTCCCCGTTCTCGTATTCTCAATTTGATACCTGCTGTATTCATTCCTTTTTACTTCTTACCCCGATTGTCCTTTCTCTCTACCCTGTTCATCATTTATCACTGTTGTCTCCTTTCCATACCTTCTCTACCCACCCTCTGTCCCTACTCCACCTATTCCCCCCCTCCCAACCTCCCATAACCCCCTACTCCCCACTGCTCTCCCTCTTCCTCTCCTCCTCTCTCCTCCTCTCCTCTCTCCTCCTCTTCTTCTCCTCCTTCACCGCCTCACACTCTGGGCACTCCTCCTGAAACGTCGTATACTCCATACTGTAAAATCTACACGCCCTCGAAAACTCCGGTAGATTATCCCGACAGTTGTCATTCTGCCTCATTGTCACCGCGTCGGACTCGGGCTTCTTGTGGCCGCATTTGTACTCCCAGGCCCATTCTGTGCACATTGTTTAGGGTTGGGGTGAAATTTGTGTGTTGGGAGAGTGGGCGAGGTGAGGTGAGGTGGTGTTTGTGATGCTAGGTTTCCAGTGATAATTCTGTAGTGATAAACTCGCAGTGCTAATTCCGTACTCGTACATCCAAACAGTACAAGAAACCCAAATAATTCGCTATACCTTTATCCCCAATCCTACTCACTAACAACCCAATATCTTTGACTCAGAAACTCTGACTTCTGAATATGTGTTTGCTTCACGCGTAATGTATCTGACTGTAATTTTCAAAGCCAATCAAACAATACTATCTCTCTTCAAAAACAACTTCGATATGTGTATGAGTATCGAATGTACACAAAGTTCCTTTCTGGTCCAAATGTACCAAGCAGCAAAAAGATGATAAATCTCACTCGCCGAAGTCAGGTAGACCTCTGAATTTGTAACTGAAAAGAACAAAGAACCTTTTATACACACCTCATCCTGATCCGGGATTACTTTTCTATGTTCAGAATTCAAGAGCTGATTTTTGGAAAGAGGGGAGAGAACAAAATGAACAAAGAAGCAGTTGTAATTCTCATTCCAAGTCTCATCTAGGTGCCCATGATAAAGACAAGTTCTCGCGTGCGCTCAAGGAGAAAATAAGGATGAATAACTTATTCGGAGAATTCACTCCCCGCAGTCAACGATTCCACCCAGAAGGAAAGAAGATTCATAATCGCCCCATCCACAACCCTTCTCCCTCAGAAATTTCCGATTCACAAAACATACTCCCAAATTCAAATAAACAGCATGACCACCATCACTCGCTCCCTCGAGATCCCCCATCAATAATTTAAACTATCCCCAGTCTCAAACTCCCACTCCGTATGATGATCATGGTAAACAAACGTCTCTTTCGATAGCACTGTAGAGTATGATCCCATTTCATTCTTCCCTGCGCTGCTCCTCTTCTCAGTGCTACGCACATATGCAGTACTAATCTTCACAGTACCGATATCGACCTTTAAGTCGCTGAGAACATACTGTTGTAGCTGATCGTATTTTCTCTGCAGAATATCCAGATTATGCCGATACCTAATGGCAAAGATTATGAGATATCTTATGAGTAGTTCAGTAAATCTTTATACATGAATCAAAATTATTCCGTCCAGTCATCATGATAGATGTTCATTCTTTGAGCTTAGCTCTCTTTGGGTAACAATAAATGGTATGATTTCCAGGTGAGTTAATGTTGGAATATACTGCATTCTGTGTGTTTTCATTCATCTTGAATCCTGAAACTAGCATGTAGTCATAGTACAAGCGATCTCTTCTTCAAAATTATCATCACAAGACATTCATTCGTGCGTTTCATAGCTGATAAGTAATACTAGATCTCATCTCATATTTGAAAACCTAAAGAGAAAAATACATGGCAGCAATCACTTGCATCAAAATCTCATCAAATCTTGCGCAAAAGAATCCGATATTCTTCCCGGAGAGGCTCCTGTGTTGCTCTCAGGAAATCTGCCATGAAAGGCCAAGATTTCTCGAGGGGTCCCATGGCATAGAATTTGTCTTGATCCATTCCGTTTTGTCCCACTATAACCGTACTTTGACTACCTACCGTCGCATCGATACATTGGAAAGCTTCACTCAGAGTGGGCCCATCATCTGGCTTAAGATCTCCCGTTGACCACTTGCTTTGTACCTCTTCTGCTAGGCTCGAGAAATCTTTCAAACGATCTTTCCAAGCTGAGTATGGATGGAAAAATTCCATATGAGTATCCAGAGCAAGCTGATTTGTATAGCTGCAACGTGTATTGCCACATACTCTGATATCCTCAGTACACCGAAAATCGGAAAGAGTCCTGTCACGATCGTGCGAGCTACGATAATGATCTCGGAGACCTAACGCTGCAATGTGTACATTTTCTATATGCTCAACGACCCCCTTGTAATCTCGAAATGTACTGGATCTACAGGCAGCCAGAGGACAGACGAGTTTACGGAAACCGTCGTGTTCCATCATACAATGGGTTTGCCATGCTTGGTCTCCAGCTAGGCTTCTATACCAAGTCATACCACAGCCGTCAACGGGACATGCCCAGCGTGATAATAAGGCTCGAGCGTGTTGGTCGGCAATGTTTCCATTCCCGATCTTTGTCTCTGCTTCAGCCGTGGCTTCGCGCCCATCATTACACAGTGTCAAATGTTTTGAATACAACTTTGCTTCGCCACATGGACTTTCCAAACCCAGACACACTCGCAAAAGCTGATATAAGGGAAAAATCAAATATTTTCGTTTTTTTGTAATCCGCCACAAGGGATCTGGATGCGAGTTGGAATTTTGACGCTCTTGTATAGCAATCAAGAACTTGTATGCTGGGTAATTCTCTCTCAAATCCACCCATGCGCGAGGTGAGTTGGAGATACCATGATTACCCAATGACACCAGGAGTATAGTATCGCCAATTGCCGCAGATCTAATAGTAGAGACGAACGCCAATGCGCTTTTAGAAGAGTGACCATGCATCTTGTTAGTGTTGCCTAGGGAGGGAATTGGTGAATCGATTTTATGATCTTTGAGATGTACGGAGTGGATATTGATATGATCAACCTTGATGTTGAGCAAGGTCATAATATCTTCTGATATTGACGCGGCTGAATGTCTCATTTCGTATATTCTGTCTGAAATATCTGGTGAATCTTTGGAACAAACGACAATGTGCTTGATTGGATTGAAATTCATCCAATGTCTTAGTTCCGGAGAAAGAATTTTCTTATCGTGAGATCCGTAAGTTGAGGTGGTGCTATAATGACTTTGGGCTGAGCTAACTTGGTGAGTATTAGTGACTTGACACCTCATGAATGGTTTTTTCCGACTAGGAGAATCCAATGTTAGGTCTACAATATGCTCTCTCTTTGGGCACTTGACAGTCGATGCTAGTTTCAATGATTCAGGATCGCTTGGGTATAGCTGCTGACTTTGATAATTTGACGAAGAATCAGATTCAAGGGCGCCCGTAAGATCAATGAAAGATATGGAACTGTGATTAATCGACTCGCTATCGGTAGACGGACGGAGTTGAGAAATTGAACGTTTGACTTTAGGTTCATCATGAATAGGGCGACGAACAGCTGTTATTATATCTTCCTTTTGCTTACCGTTGACGAAGCTGCATATATTGGGCAAAGAATGAGTAAGAGATGTGGTACATGCCAAATCAGGTGGCTTGGTACGTCGAGCTTTATTTTCATCTTGCTTGGTAAGACCACCACTGTGCATCATAGTGATCACCTTAGTGGTAGCATGATCACATTGGAAGACACAGGCACGTCCAATATCGTTATCTTTATTGCTATGAGTGGCGCTAGTCTTCTTTTGAGTTGTATTCCAGTTCTTGGGCTCAAGGATAGAGGATCGATTGGGCTCGGTGGCTGAACCACTATGTACAGCGGTGCATTTATCTATGTATTTATTTCGTCCGCGTTCCAAATCAGGTACAAGTTTGGAAATAGGTGTAGAAGAGGTAGACACAACCTCCCCATTTTGATGACTTGTCCTTGATACCGTAAAATCAGGAAAAGTTCGAGTCTTATATTCATGATAACCCCTAGTTTCATATATCAAACGTGTATGAGGATTCTTCGGAAAATAAAATTCGGTGAATTGATCGTATTTGTTATTAAATTGTTCTGCTTGCTGGTTCTTGGTACTTGGGAAAGGGCGGTATATATGATGAGAGGAATTCTCCTGGGGATGCGTATATATTCTTTCGAATCCAATTTCGTTTTGTGCTCGCCTCTCATGATACATCTTGTAAGGCTTGCTGTCTCCATTGTTCATGTTCTCGAGTGAAGAGATGTTGTTAATGACATGATATTCTGATGATATGATGTTTGTGATAGGCTGATCGTGATTATTACCCTTGTCGTCGCTTGAGATGGGAGTGTCGTCTTTGATGATAATCGAGTGATCAGATCCCCGACTGGCACTGCGCAAGTTTAGTACATGGATCTCTTTCCGTTTTTAGATGGAAGATTGGGTATGAATTCTAGAAGAGGATATAAAGAGACTGAAGCAACGCAGATATTGCTTTATTGAATTCAGCATGGCCCCCCTTTCCCTCAAACGCTTACCACGGAATACATGAGCTACCTAGAAGGGTGCAAGAGATTGACAAGACGAAATCGCGGTTGTGATAGTTCGAATATGACTTGCCTTGCAGAGTGTGTCGAATTGAGGACCGGAAGGTCTGCGTTTGAAGCCATCTCTCTTGAATCAACTGGTGGTACAAATGTAGATCTGCTAATGTCAGCGCATGTACTTCGAATCTCCAAAATAGACATAGACTTACTTTATCTTGATTAAAGTGAGCGCGGTTTGATGTTGTGGTAAAGTTGAGAAAGTTTATGCCTTGAAACTTCTTTCTGATCTTGAGAGTGTAGATAGGACGGGCTGAGTGACAACAGACTCTAGAGTTATGTCAGTGGTGATTCGAGACAATGTATCTTGTTATATCTTATGCGCGAAGAACGACCCGAAAAGAACCTTTTGGGTATGCATTCTATGCTTTCAAATACAAAGAAGAAGGTTTCGATAGGCTATGCAATGCCTTGTGCCAGAAATGAAATAACCGCGAGTGGTTCCTTCCTCGACGCGGTACTTCGATTGTGGAAAAGAAAGATAAGAAGGCCCTGTTAATCCGGGACTCAGACAAGAACTTGAGTTCCTATCTTTACCTCGACCAATCTCATGGATTAAAAGGGATAAAATGGCGTGCGCGAGTCAAGTGGAAAAGGATGCATGGCAGACAAATAGCCATTGAAGTTATTCTGAGAATTGGTTCGCCTAATCAATTAATAAATTGTGAAAATTTAGAACAACTGTATTACAATGGAGGTCTCGTATCATGTTTAGCTGCTTAATAGATTTTTGAAAAGCTTCTGGAAGATATTTGACAATATCTTATGACGGGAAGCTTCTCGTAGTACATTGTCTTAGTATGTACCTAGGTGGGCAAGTATCAATAGTTACAATTTTTGTTCGGGCGGTCAATCAACTTACCAACATCACCCACTCACAACTCTGATAAGGATGTTGTACATGGATTTATATTGGAATTTCAGATGAATTGTTTTGAAAGTGATGGTATCTTAATGCCAAATGTGCTTTCCGCTGTCCGCTTTCACCCATCGTTACTTCCATCCACGTCTCATTCATTAATGAGACCGTTGCTACTTTGTCAATTCACAGAGCCCAACTTCTCAACCATGGTAATAAGAGGTCAGCTCACTGTCGTCTGATGAAGGAAGGTTGCTCAGTTTATGGTTACGTGGTTCAATTCATTTCATATAGCAAGCAGGTGGTATCACCGAAGAAAGCAAGATATTCACGTCACTATATTACTGAGGCTTTGAATTCAATTTGGTTTCAATTTGGTGTGAACGGCTATCTAAATACAGGTAATACAATTGATACATTAATAAAGTACAAATCGCTATGAATCTTTTTTTTCTTTCTTTTTTTTACCTCAAGTGAGGATTTTGGATTTTGGGTTTGGTTTGCGAAAACAACAAGATTGCATTAAAAAGGATATTTCTGAAACAAATTCAACATACTGATTGACAAAGCAGAAAAAACAGAAACAAAACAACAATGTGAACAACATCAAAATCGCTGACGCCAACGCCAACGCCGAGCTTCAACAACGCCATCATCACAAATACCAGCAGTCTATCTATCAATGGCTAGTAGTGTGAGAGACGGGGCAGCTATCTACCACCCAATAACAATGCGATTAACACCAAAAACGCTAACGGCAAACTCCAACAACGCTGTCACAATACCTACCAGCAGTCTATATATCAATGGCTAGTAGTGTAAAAGACGGGGCTGTCTGCCATCTAACGCCAAACTCCAGCAACTTCATCACAACACTTAACTACCAGCAGTCTATCTATCAATGGCTGGTAGTGTGAGAGATAGTACTGTCTGCCACCCAATTGCGATCCCAACGAGTGAATCTTTCAATGTCTGAATAAGACTCAGATATTAAGAGATTTTCATTCTAGGACTACGATTGGGATATTTTTCTTCTCTGCCTCCTCCTGCTCCCATCTATCAACGATTTCATCAGGCACCCATAGTCTCCACCACGCCCCACTGCCCTCGACAGGCTCACCATTGCCAGCTTGATGGTGGTTGTCAGGTGCACCACCCGCGGGAGCGACAACAGCGGGGACACCAAGAGCAGCGGCGACAGGAGCAGGAAGGAGAGGGGCAGGGGCGAGAGGAACAGGGGCGGGAGGAGCAGGAGCGAGAGGAGCAGGAAGGAGAGGGGCAGGAGGAAGAGGGTCAGGAGGAAGAGGGGCAGGAGGGGCAGAGGCGACGAGAGGGCCAGGGAGGAGAGGGGCAGGAGGGGCAGAGGCGACGAGAGGGCCAGAGAGGAGAGGAGCGGCGGCAACAGGCTGTTCAGCAGCAGCATTGTCAGCAGCAGCCTTCTCAGCAGCAGCCTGTTCCTGAGCCCGACGAGCATTAGCCCTTTCGAGAGCCCGGCGATTAGTTGCCTGACGAGAAGCAGCCCGGCGTTCAGCAGCCTCGCGAGCAGCAGCCTCGCGCCTCTCAAACCCTGGATCTAGCTGAGTTGACACCGTAAGGCAATTAGCCAAAGGAGACCCGTAAAGATGGGAGAGATTCTCTTGCATGAGGAACTCCCGGGTTTGGTGGTTCCACACCAATGGGAAAGCCCCAAGGACCTCCATTGGTCTGTAATATCTTCCTGTGCCCGTCGGCACGAGGAGATATGTTGCGGGAGGGAAGTCAAGCATCTCTCCCATCCTCGTCTCCTTGAAAGAGACTATGAAGTTGCGAGGGACCGGTAGATGCGGCCACTGATTGTCGGCAGCGGCAACATCCTCCCCCAAGAGTCGAATTTCAACCATTATGTAGATGGTATTGGTTGTAGGTAAAGGGAATAAGCGAAGGTAATTTGTAGAAGGGGTAATTTATTATTCAAAAGTTGATCTAATAAATTATGTAGAAGAGTGGGTGAAGAAGTTGATGTTGGAAGTTATATCAAGAGAAGATTTTTGGAGCTGAGGGATACAATTCTAAGGAGAGAGTACTCAGAGCCGTATATATAGATAGAAATGAGATTTCCATTTCGACTGAAAATTCCGTACTATCCTCTTTGGTCCAAAGAACACCATGAAATTTTCTCTACGCCGTTATCTATAGACTACGCAGGAGTGTAATTTAGGGGGAAGTTTAATCTGGGTAAGAATTTGGGAAATTTTAAGCGGGGGGGGATCTAAGTCTACCTACCCGAGATACCCGAAGCCATTGTAGATGATCCATTGAAGAAATAGCGTAGAGATTGACCGATGGTCCAATCGTATCAGGCAGAGAAAGACCCTACCATGGCATGGCTTCACTTAGAATAGATCAGAATAAGCTTTGAGCGATATGTCGTGCATATGGGGGTTTCAGGATTCAGATCCGATGGAATATTAGAATCATCTGGAATGTGGAGCTTCACTTGGAACATTGAACTAATCTGAATACCCCAGTTCTTTTGGTACATTGTATTGTTTTGGGTTGTTGAACTCGGGTCAGAGATTGAATTCATGTGAAATGTTGAAATCATGTTAGATGCTGAGCTGCTGTAAAGAAGGATACCCATATTGAACTATAAACCAATTTGAGATATTGACCCAAATTCGAATTTTGTAATACCTCTGATGACTGAAATCTTCCATTCAATCTGTCAATCTGTACCCCTCATTGAATAGCCAAGGTGAATAGAGTATTTTCCTACTAGCTCTGACAATCGAGGAGACAATAAGATAAGGCAATCCTCCAATCATGTTTGCCCGAGTATGATGCAAGTTTGCGAGTCATCACATGATACTGACCATACAGATCTCAGGCAGTGAAAGGATATCATCGGAAATCACATTTTGACTACGTGAAGGCTCTGGGAGTAGTACAATAACCAAGTCTTTGCTGATCAGACCTTGGCCTCCGACCTTCGGAAACCTAGATTATATGAGTTTGTGCGATTACTAACCGCCGCTAAGCTTGTAGCTAAACGCTGAAGGGGTCATGATCGTTTTGTTGCACATAGAGTGGAGATATTGTACCATTATGCTGTGAAAATTCTGCTGAGCGGGAAGAAAATTCTTTTCAAGTGTATATAGTATGAAACTCAATCTGAATGATTATCGTCCCACACGACGAAGAGGACAGAATGCAAAGTATAATTCATGCATGTGACATGAAGAACAAGATGGCTAATGACATCGATGTATTGCTGAATGGCGACAGTAGCTGCATTACGAGATTTGTTGCATGTCTATGAGCAACAGTACCCTTGGCGTAGACATGGACAAGTAGCCTTCATGATAGATATACACTGTCAATACTATAGGTTGACATTAAAGGTGATTTGACAGTATTTTGGGAAAGGAAGAGGATGTGAGGAACTAGACATGAAGAAATAAGGTATGAAGGACTAGGACATGAAGAACGAGGGCATAGTGAGATGAGAGACGTGATGTTGAACATGTTGACCAGTTTTTACTCTCTATGATAATGTTACAGTGATGTATGCAATTATACAAAGAATCATTGAGAGGTTAAGACGATAATATTTCTCCTGAACTGTACTCGATCTTCTTGATTCTCTCGAAATTAGAATGAATACTTCATGTTCTTTCTATCACACACCCTCCTTTCAATTTCGAGGTATTATCACATTTGGTATCACTTATTATGGATAGATAATCTCAAAAGTTAAAATATAAATTGAAACGGTCATACTTTGCACGTGAATTCTTTACAGAAAGATGTGTGTGACGGGAGCATAAGGAGCATATCTGTAGTCAGTTAGGTACAGAAAGACACTTTCATCCAACACATCATCTCTTGTATTCTTGAAAATCTTGAGATTCTTGTAAACGACACAAATCTCTCTACTTTGTCTGAATTAATTGAGATGTTGAGTGGGGTTTTTGAAAGCACATGACTACGTTTGAATGCGGGAATGACGGCACCACTAGCATAAGTGGAAGGAACGACCACTTGAGCCTCAACATGACTGTCGATCCGCACTGCCTAATAACATCAATTATCTACAACAAAAATCATCAAAATAAACATCGATAGCAGACATCGCAGTTGATAAAAAAGACCTGTATTCTCTTGAGTCGAGCCCCTGAATTTAGCGAATGCTAACATTTTACTGACTTTGAATGATCTGATAACAACAGCAACACCTTCTTCACCGAGATTTTCGGTCAAATAACGATTCTCCACGAAATACGAGTGGTTGGAAACATGATAAGAGAATCTGTAAGGGCGAAATACTAGAGAACGACACACACGGAGGACAAAACGGCGTTTTCCCTCGAATATCCCTCGATTTTTGGTTATAATCACAGGCGATAGAACTACATCGATCGAATGCAAGAAATGGAGTTAAAGCGAATAGATTCATTCTCAAAGTTTACACAATTACCCATCTAATATCGCAAGATTTGCACAGTTGAGGCAGCAGACGGCACATGATTAATATGGTGAGCGCACGATTAATTGAAACGGGATTTTCTTTCGACAATAAATGATATTGACCTTAGATACTTATCGTATCACTTCTTTTGTTGCGATCAGGTCACTAAGATTGCCACAGTACATCGAAGAAGGTATAAAAGGCTAAAGAGGTCCAGAACGAGTATACTCATGCGAAACGGGCTTCCAACGGATCGATCACAGGACAACAACACAAGTAGTCGGAGACACGAATCCAATTATTTGGTATTAAGAAAGCTAAATTTGCAGTATAGCATCAAAAAGAATTTCTACTCGATATGACTACACTACTCTAGCACGAAGACTGAACCATTGGGGTGCTTCAATTTCAAGGTGCCGAAAAGACTGATTTCTTTGAGACAGGCTTTCGCAAATATCCCTATCTCTGCATGTGCAATCAGCAGCCTCGTTAAACGCATTTTTTGGTGTGTATATCAATGATTATATAGTTAATATCGCGATGCTCAAACGAACTCTCGAACTCTACAGCGGCCAATACCATTCGCATAAGCGTGGTCAAAAGAAATCCACGACTAAAAAGTTACAGCAATACCGGTGTCAGAATACTATTGTGTGCAGAAATATATGCTAATCAAAAAGTGATCTCAGAACAATTTGAGGGTTAATGCGACAATTGTGCAGAAAACCACGAAAGCTTTCAAACGAAAAGAGAGTTCCCGGCATGTCAAGAGACTACTCCTATTCGAATCCAATCAGATTCTACTCCCATTGAAACGCATATCGAGGAATTTCAACGTATATTTCGTCTGACAACCCATCAATGGTATATCGAAAGGTCCGACTCTCGGCTACATCTATTTCGTGACACGGCAGAGATTTCAGGTTCAATTCTGGTATTTGATATACGATTTTATTGCCGTATTTCCAATGATATACGGCGAATGGTGCAGACTAAAAGGATTATAGATGGGTCTATCGTCTATATATGGTTTGTATGCTGGGTACTGCCCATCGTTCGGCTTCCATCTTGGTTCTGATGAGAATTTCGAGAATACCGAAACGCGATGTTCCTCGCTCAACCAATTTCTTCTGGAATAAAACTGATAAGGGAAGCTTATGTCAAGTCATCTGAGCTCAATTGGTTCTTCGATACACGCTGGTGAGGTGGTGGAGATGGGTTGAGATTGAAGAACGTCTCTGGAGATTGAAAGTTGAAAATAAACGGGTGACCTGAGTTATCTCTCAGGTATATATGTAGGAACTGAATCCTATCCTTAGGTCTACAAGAATGCGATGATCCAGGCGTTGGAGAAAGGCGAAGGACTCCCGAGCTTGGAAAGGACGTCTAGACGATGAGATATTGATCCGGTGATTGCACGAAAACATATGGCTGACATCTACAAGGCAATAAAGAGGCAAACTACCAGAGAGCGAACCATTAGTAGATGCTCGGGCATCTTGATACTGCGAACAACTGGCTATAAAAGGGCGGCAATAAAATCAAATTCGATATCGTCTGAAACTAGCCATGAACTTAACGAAGCTTGGGAAGCAGCCCCATCTTCGGTGTTGGAACTCTCTACTATACGGAATATATCAATTTTTACAACCGGTAAGTTCTTCTAAATGAGGGACGGAAGAACTTTGTCTGTTTTTTGCAGCCGAATTTACGCGAAAATAAACGAACACTGGCTTTTGGAGCCTCGTTTTCGGTCGAAAAGAGCAGAAGGCAGTTCGGAATTTGCACCTGCATTTTCCAGAGATACTTGGACATTATTCAGACGGCTCAAACCCAATATTCTACACTTGCGTATCTGAACCAAACACTTCTTCATCGTTTAAATCCAGGAAAGAAAAACTCTTTTAAGCTGTAGGGAAGAAGACTGGCAACCGAAAGAACTTAATGGCTTCTTCTAACGCTTAAAAAAGAGTCAAGAAGGGGAATTCGATACGCAGCTTGCGCTGAAACCGATGTAATATTTTGTTCCATATGTCTTCGTGTTTCCGATTTAACTCGTCCAGTTTTGAAACTAACTTATGTAGGGATGGGTGAATGGACAATATCTTTCAGGGTGCCCCATTTAGATCTATTTGAATTAATCTCATATTGTGGACAACTCTTAGCTAACTTGATTCTACAGGTATAATTATCCCTCATCTCCTTTGCTGTCGTACTCCATAAATCGAATACACGAACTGCACTCTTTCCTTCGATCCTTGACGAATTCGCAATTTCTCAATGGAATAGAAGCACTTATCTCCACGGCACACTTGGAGCACGTGTCGAAGCTCGTTTTTCTCCTCTATGGCTCTTATTTTCACAGACATTGGGACGTACTGAGAAGCTGAATTTGAACACGGAGAATTGCAGGGGAAATCTTTTCAAACTATA